ATGAGCTGTTCTGAGCCTTTTGTGAAAATTTCCTTGAGTCAGCATGAGATTTGATCGAGATATAAGGATTTTAATTTTTGCTAGTAACAGGCGAAAAATCGGTTTTTCACAACAATGCCTCTGGCGAAGTTATATTCATTTCTACAGAAAAACAAATGTTGCTACTATGCTCAGCGTAGTTGTATTAGGAATCGCTAGTTTATAGTATTACCTTACACCACAGAAAAATTCGCTTTTTGATCCGGTACATCGTCACCTTGCTATAACAATTCTACGATATCTAGTATTGTCCATCCTAGTGGACATTGGGTCTTAAAGGGCTAAGACTGTGTGTGAAAAGCACCACTTGTGTTTGTTTGCTTTTGTTTCATACATTTTGAATTAGAACGAAGAAATGAAACATATTTGCAAGTATATTAAAAAATACGTTTTTAATTTTAAGAACATATGTAACTGTCATTGGATTTCGTAATGTAGGGCTTTCTTTTAGAGACTTCTGTATTTTCAGATCGAAATAAATCGTGAATTTGATAGCTTTGATGCTATTGATTGTTTATGCTGCAGTTTGATATAACAAGAATATGAGAAGAACCAGAACGGCATGTTTTCTCAAAATAAAAAGTTCTATTAGTGACAGAAAAATACGCTACAATTTACACAAATAGAAAATTTGAAATGATCTTTGACTCGTCATAATTCTGAATTTAAACGGAAACTTTCAACTACAAAACAATGTACCTAAACTTGAAATGGTGTAACAGCGGGGCAATTGCCCCCCCCTCCCAATTTTTATTGGGGGCTTGACCGCCTCCTCTGATTTCAGATCATTTTTTTCATTAGAAAATTCGAGCAGAAAATCCCACTCTCTCCTGGCCGTAGTCCGGTGTAAGTCAACTTTTCAAGTTGAGGTCCATTTCAGATTTCAGAGTTCAGATTTCTTAGAGATATAAGCATAGCCGCAAAGGTCCTGAAAAGCAGAGCCCTGTGTACAATATGTGTTTTTCTCATTATACGTTTTATCAATAGTCCCTTGAACTGGCACATATTTCGACCCCTATAAAAAATGGTCCGCTCGAGCTCCACATTTTACCCCAGATACTTCCGACCCTATCTCAGATTCGTTTTTTTTAAAAGCGTTTTCGACTTCAACTTTCGGCGTGAGAAGGTTTTCAAAATGAAAAACCGTTTTTTTATATGGGATTTTCATTATTTTCCAGATATCTCGAGAAGGGAAAAATATTTTTCGAAATTAAAAAAAAGTAATCTGAGATAGGGTCTGAAGTGTCTGTGGTAAAATTTTGAGCTCGATCCGACCATTTTTTCGAGGGGTCGTAATGTATGCCAATGGAAACTGGAGGTTTTCAGAAATCCCATAGAAAAACACGTCAGAAAATTCTGGGCAAAAATGCATCGATTTTCTTTTTCGATGTTCTATCTCTGGTATAAATTAGAACCCAATCCAGCATCGGCTTTCCTAGTTTCCAAGAGAGTAAGAAAAGAGAAGGGTACCCTTAAATTGAAGCGACAAGTGTGCTCAATATTTTAAGAAGCCTTCACACTCTACACGTTCGTTTGTTTAGGAAGTATTGGAAAAATACAGACTGCTACTTTTCGGATAAGTGTTGAAAAGTAGCCATTTACATTTTAGCCATCTAAGCATTTTAGCATTTCAAAATATTGAGCACACATTTCACTTCAATTTAAGATGTTTCAGAGCTATAGAACGCAAAGTATTCGATTCGGAAACTATACGAGAAACAAAATACAAGGAAACCTTGACAGAATCATAGTTAGTGTTATGTGACTAAGACGCAATAGAAACTTCAGAACTTTCTACGAAATACTTTAAAAATTCTAAAAACCGTGCAGACTTCATTTTTGGCAGGGATAAGAATTTTAATCGTTTTTCCGCGCAATGTCCATTAGGAATCGTAGAAATGCAAAGCCTCTTAGATGCGAATTAAGTTTTGTCCGTTTCGACATTTTTCTCAATACAATGTGGCAGAGAACTTACGATATTATCAAAATTCCAGTCTGTCAAAATCTGTCGCATCCAGTTACGAAATTGATGGGGGGCGTCGGCAGTTGGATACAGGCCGGGACCTTTGATTGACGGTTGAAATACCTTTTGAAAAAGAACAAATGAACTATCACATAATACAACAGGCATATTCAATCGCATGTTTACTTACCATGGCGCCAGCTTTGAATCCGACAAGTTTGGTGAAGAAACCGGGATTCGGCGAGTACATAAGCGTATCATCGACATGGAGCGTTCTACTCGGTTGGTGAAATAGGAAAACGCTACTGAAATGATTTGAACTCTCTGGTAGCGGTGAGATAAATTCGGCACCTAAACAAAGTACAAACGAAATCATAAACTAGAATATTGATGGATAAAAGCAATTGACACTCGAAAAGACGAAGCAATAAGGAAGCGTTTCAAAATATATTCCGATCAGCCGTTTAGTCCTTTATTCCGTGCCTTAGATCGATATTGCCATAATACAACATAATTGAAAGTGTGTTATATGTAACTGCCTTGTTTTGTAATCGCATAAACATATAAAGTGTAAAAGCATTTGGTCTTTACAAATGATGAGACGATAGAGAGAAAAGTAATGTTTCTATATGTTAGAATATATCATAGTCAAATATAGTTTTCAAGTAAATTTTATCTTTTTAGCTTTTTTGTGAAGTATTTTATAAGGTCATTTTTATAGTATAACTCATTATCATCGAAAATTCGAGCTTACTCGGTATGCTCTATTTGACCATTACTAAAGCTCAAAAGTTGCAGCTCAATAGCTTTTTCTAGAGATCAGATCTGCCTGAAAGCTTTTTTTTCAAAGAAATTTTACTGTTCGTTTAACGCATTCTCATATATTACGAAAATTAAATTACTATTTGTATTTCATTTTTTTACACATTTATATGCAGGACGTGACGAGCTCGAAAAAGCTCAGACCTTCCGAAAGTCTAGAAAGATAAAATTCAGTTGAAAATGTTGATACATTCCAAAATATAAAAACATTGCTTTTCTATCTCTTGCCTCATTATTTATAAAGACAAAAATGCTTTTGTACTATATATGTTTATGCGGTTATACAACAGGGCAGTTACATATAACACACTTTCAATTATGTTGTATTATGGCAATATCGATCTAAGGAACGGAATAGAGGACCAACAGCCAACTGGAGTAGTGTTGAAAGAGAGGGATCAAGACAGATCGATCGGAATATATTTTGCAGTGCTTTCTAAAAAAGAAGTACTTTGCACCGGCTGCATAAAAAGTCGCTGAAAACTGAAGTATAAGTGGCTTTTAGAACAAGCTTAATTTTTAAAAGTGAGAGCTTAGATAATGTCCTCTCTTTCTCCGAACACAGTGTAGTTTAGTTTGATAGATCCCTAACGAGATTTAATAGTATCTACAAACAATGCTCAATAAAAGTGCCGTTTTGGAGGTCTTTTGCAGGTTAAGATGGTACACGTTAGACAAAAGGAATTATCCAAAAACTGTTTTTCTTAGATACTGAAAAGATCATTTTCTTCGCGCGCTACAGTTTGAAAACTGGAAAACATTAATTTCCGTAGAACTGCCAAGTGCTACGAAGTGCTTTTGCTAGAACACAAGTGAGACCTAATGATTAACTCTCTCTTCGAATACTTGCATAATCAAACTTAAATTTCAACAGAGGTCCTTCCAAAACCGTCGTATCGCTTTCTTCCATCTTTTTCTAGTTCCAGCTTGCCACACCTCCACCATACTCATGATCACAGAAACGACAAATAATTTTTCTTGCATCAGGACTTTCTTGGGTTGAATAACTCTTGAAAGAGGAAAAAAAGAGGAAAAGAAGTTATTTTTGCCACGTATCTTTCGTATGTAAGCTGAACCACGTTTTACATAAGATGCCCCGAAAGCAAACTCGCAGTGAAATTTATTTTCGACCTTTTTCCACACTATTCCGTAGAGGAGATAGCGCCGATCATGAATATGTGTTCCTCGATTTTTTCATCACGAGCAGAATACCGACTGCTCCCCCTCTGATTTGGAAAAAATGATTTTGATCTAAGCTGCCGTTTATTAATGATGATGTGGGAAAATGATTTTTCTGAGCAACTAAAAGGAATTTTAAAAAATTAGTAGAGATGCATCTCACGGATCTAACCATGTGCGCATATTAGCTCTAGAACCTATGGAAAAACCTGTGATAGTTTGGCAAAGATGGGTAGGGTTTTTGGGCTATGTGAATTGCGAAATTTTTTTTGCAATAAGCATTAGGTTCTAAACTGTTCTGAGACTGTTTTCCTATTCAGTTTTCGATGCTGAATTAGAAAACCAAAGCTATAATCTTCCAACTCGTAACATAATTTCAAAAAACCAATTTCGAAGAAGAGCCGAAAATTTGACTTTTTGATCTCTTTCGAGTATTTCGAGCTTTTGGATCGGAAGCAAGTGTCCAAAAAAATCGAGGAACACGTATTCATGATCAGCGCTATCTCCTTTATGGAATAGTGTAGGAAAAGGTGGAAAATAAAATCCACTGAGAGTTTGCTTTCTGAGCATCTTAAATGTATACTAATTTTCCCTATTATTTGTATGTCTAACGACAGTGAAAGGGCAATCGCGCTCAAAAACAGTTTTCTATTACGCTGCTTCTAATTTCCTCGACGTGCATATATTTTATGGAAAAAAGTATGTCTCTGTGAAAAAAAAGTTTTTTCATTGACAAATAGATGTGAGACCGATCCACGCTTTTTTGGTTCCGGTACCGGCCCTGGGGAAAGAAAATTTGGTCCCGCTTCCGTTCATAGCTATTGGCAAGGCTTCGCTCGAAAACGTCATTCTATGCAAAGCGAATGTTCTAGGGACGAGAATGATGTATTGTAGTGAGAAAAGATTTTCTGAGGGAAATTCAGTGCCATATTCAAACAGAAAAATGGGAAGAAAATTATGCATGAAATACCTTTTTCTGTAGTTCTTAAAGTTAAAATAAAGATGTAGCGCCTTTATTGAAGTATATTTTACTCACACTTGAATTTGGATAAAGATTTTTCTAACGATTTGACATACCTGCCGGTATTCTCATTTCGATTTCTGGTGCCCATTTTCGCCGTGTATCAGCATCATTCAAACTTCCCGACCAACATATTTCTGGTATTTTCCGTAAATGTCGCGGACACCCGTAGTATTTCAATTTCGGGTATGCATTGTGGAACGGTCGAAACGCCAACGTATGAAACGGATGCAAACCGAGAACACCTTCAATTTTCGACCCGCTGTCTGTTAGACGATCAATTTCCGATTTCAAATAATCGGTTAATGGGACAGTGTCGATAACGAGAAAATTTCCATTTCTTAGCCGAACGATTGACATCTGGGTTCCGATATCGACAATCCCGGCGAGCATCTTGAAATGTCCACGGACATTAAAGAAACCGGGTGCAACTTCTATCAGTTCGTTATACGGCGGTGGTTCACTACTACTCATATTATTTTATATTTACTTATAAAACAAGAAAAAAAGATCACTTTTACCTACTAATATGATTAAATGAAAATGTCTTCATCGTCACGATGACATTTTATTAGTATATTTTTTTGTCCTTCTTTCTTTCTGTTCTCTCTTTTTGTCTTTGCGCGCAGATAGGACGTGAGTGAGTGGAATGAAAAACACAACTTTTCATTATTATAATAATATAACTACTCTTCACATAATAACTACTCTTCCTATATGTGAAAGAAAAGAACAACGATAACAACAAATCATTCGGAGGGAATGTGAGGAAAACAGAGAAAATTCGTAATAATATGAAGAATTTTTTATTGAAGGGTATCCGACGGCAACCAGTCTGTTGACTTTCTGTGAGGAATTAAAAAAATGCAAATAACAACAATTATTACGTATAACAAGAAATAGTAGTACAAGAAATAAGTGATATACTTGAAGCCTTTTAGATACTTGTTCAGTTTTCACTCTGGAATATAACAAAACGGCACTTTCAGATGGCGTTACCAATCAACAAGGCCAAGTTGAAAAGTTACGGAGTCTAGACCGAACGGTTTTCTATGACAAATGCCGAAGAAAACCAGAAATGTAAGACATTTTTGAAGAGCATG